ATCTAACATTGGGAGAGGAGGGGTTATTAAACATAAATTCTAAGCAACTCAATCAGTGGTTCCCACAGTGCCTTCTTCTGTCGTTTGAGTTTGGAAAAGAAATCCACATGGGGCATCACTTGCTATTATAATGCCCTCATCTCAGCTTTGCGTAATCCAAGTCACCATGAGGTGGTGAAAAAGGAACTGAGTTCTGTCTTTCTGTGATGAGAGTGAAACAATTGTTTCCGTCTTCCCTGTGACTGCCAGCTGCTTCTGTTATGCAGTCATGACATTATTCCCTGTTCCATCCATCTCCCCTCGTACTCCTCTTCCAGTACAAAGCTTCTCTTCTCATCACTCTCCACCCTGTAAAGAAGGACCACCAGCCTTTGACTCACCTCTCTTCCAAAATTTCAATGACTTGTCTCTTTCTTAGAGTATATACAACTAATGTCACAGACACCTCATTTTGGAGTTGTCTCACTGTTATGTGTGTTGACCTTAATATAAGTGAGTTTTCTTTGTTCTTACTTTTGCCTCCCCTAAAAGGAAACTCTGAGATAAAAATATAAATTCAAGTTATTTATTTGGGAGGGGGGGGAGCTTCAGGAAGTACCAGTAGGGGAGTGAGAAAGCAATACTGGGAAGGGAACTGAGCCAACCAAGTATGGGATAATGAGTAAGTCACTGCTGTGGAACTTGGGGCTCTGTTCCCAGACCCTGAGAAAGCCTGTGTGCAGTGTGCCTCAGAGTTATCTCCGAAGGCTGAGGAAGTCAGCATATTTACCCACAGCTCTCAGCCCTTGCTTGATAAAGATTGCCCCTGGGGCACCAACTGACAGAGCAGACTGGAGGCCAGAAAATGCTTTGAAGCAGAGAAATGGTGCAGAAAGCCATCCACATGGGAAGAACTGTATGGTGACGTCTGGGGTAAGCTGGGAATGCGGGCAAGGCCGTGACCACCGAGGCCTTGTCTTTGCTAATCTCTTAATCCATCCTTTCTTTCATTTAATAATATTTACTGCACTTATTGCACTTTTCAATTTTATATTAATCGGTTAGTTCATGTCTAATACTTGTCTTATTTGCTACGGTATACCCAGTACTTAGCTCAGTGTGTGGAACCTGGTAGATCCTCAGTAGCTATTTGTTAATTCAAAGACTAAATTAATGAATGAGTCCATGCCTCTGTCTTAGCTTTCTGTTCTTGGGGCGTGTCTGGGACTACCTCTGGGTTTTTAACTACTGGAGCAAGGGAGGAGCGAGGTTTGAAGCTATACCTACCTCCTTTTAGGTAGTTTTTTCCTGAAAATCTCTATGGGAGTTGGGCATTGCTGTCATTAAAAAGATGTGCCTTCCCCACTCTTGTACAGTAAATCTGTACTTAGTCACTCAGTCATGTCTGATCTTTGTGACCCCGTGAACTTTAGCCTACCAGGCTCCTCTGGCCACGGGGATTCTCCAGCTGAGAATATTGGAGTGGGTTGCCATGGCTGCATCCAGTTAAAATCTGTAGGGAGATTCTAAGATCCCTTCAATAGCTCACTCATTTGACAAGTATCAAGCACCCACTAAGGATAATATACCATATTCAGAGCTATAACATTTACAAGAAAGGTACAGGATACAAGTCTTGTTCTTACAGAAGAGCTTACAGTTGAGTTAGGGGTAGTAATATAACCAATGTGAATTATAGAACACCTTATAATCAAGAGATGGATTGCATATCTCAGGCTAAGAATTAAGTAGTTGTAGGGTTCAGAATCTTCTGGGGAATTCACTACATACAGGGGAGTGGAGCAAGCTCTAAACTTGTGATGAAGAGACCTGGGATTGGGTTCCTTCTCTATTACTAGGGTCTAAGACTCTTGAGGGCACAGACTAAAGCTGATCCTGGGAGAAGAACTACTCAGATTTGGAGCCCACAGAAACCACCTCATTCTCTGCCCCAAGGCTGATGTGTATGGATTCCATTAATGGTGCTGATGCTCTCTGGTTTATATTTGGCTTTGACCAATGGAGAACCCTGTTGGTGGGAGGAGAGAGAGGCCAGGGTATTGGCATACCATGGCTCCTTTTCTGTGGTTATCTTGGTTCAGCTACTGACTCTTTCTCACTGTTTCCTTCTGGAATCCATTTACCTGATCTTCTCTCTTTCCTCTGGCTTTCTGCTAGCTCTGGATTTCCACACTGTCCTTTAGGTTTCCTGTGTCTTTCCTACATCATGGTAAATAAACCCTCTTTGAATTATCCAGTTTCAACATGCCATCTGTTGTCTTTTGGGACCTGTTACAAAAACTCAGACCCTGCTCTTAAGAACTCTCAGTTTAGTAGGAGAGAGAGTTCCAGACAAAACCATTCTTAATCAAAGACAAACTGAAGGCAACATGCTAATGGCTGAAGAAGACATGATGATTCAGATTATAGGTAGCTGGAGGACCTTTTCAAATTTACTATGGAATGTACAGGTGATTAAAAAAACTGTTGGAAAAGATATTATTTCTTATAATTGCACTTATTTGTGACAACATGATTTTTGGTACCATTAGTACCAGCAGTGGTAATTGGGGCTTTATTGTTAAAGCTATACAGTGGACATTTTCTGTAACCCACCAAGGCCTCTGTTTCCTCATTCCAGGAGCTTCCTACTCCCCTCAGAAGACAGTAAGTCTCCTGGCTTTTGTTTTGCCAAAAGCTGTGCTTCAGAGGGGAATGTGTTGAGCTTCAAGTGAAGGGAAGACATAGTAGAAGCAAGTACTTGGCGTTCAAGAGGCTCTCGATGTTGAAACTGCCAGAGGAGAGAGAAGATTTTAAAATACCCCCTAAGGCCAGGAGAGAAAGAAAAGTTCTTGGGTTTATAGGATAGTAGGCAGCAGTGCGTGGCCCTGGAAGGTACTTCAGGGAGGAGGGAGGATCTCAGAAGAGTGACTCTTTGGGGCACCAAAACAGGCAGGATGTGGCACTCTGGATACTCAGCCTTGGCCATGAGCCCAGGAAAGAGAAGATGCTCACCTTTGTGAGATTTCATGGGCTTGGAAATTGACTATGGACCATAGAACATTTCTCAATGATGCACACTGTGCCAGGTCCCCAGGAACTCTGCCAACCCTGAGTGAGGAAACTGGGCCACAGTTGAATTTGAAACTGTGCCACAGTTGAAACTATGTTGAATTTCATACCAATTCAATGGGATGGGGCTCAGAAAAGATTAATTTTATTTCAGGAGATAAAAATAATGTGAAATTTCTTATGTTCTATTTGTGGGATAAATTTATACCTGGTACACATGGGATCCTCATCTAGGACTACTAAGAATCCCAGGTAAAACATATCTATACCACAGATTGTTTACTGCCGTAGCAGTGAGACCGGTTGGTTTTGAGGAAATTGTTGTTTCTCTATTGGAAAACTGGTAGGCAGAGATGTTCACATTTCTGAGTGTGAACTATTAGAAGTCACTGCTGATTTGGGGAACACCATTCACTAGTGATGAAACTGTGTTTTAAAGGGTGCCATAGAATGCTTTAAACCTTCAGGTTGATATAAGGTAGCTTATTCAGTGTTTGGAAGGAAGATAATACAAGTGTAGCTTTGTTAAATTACACTGACAATATTAATTTCTCTGAAATTCCCTGGAGGATACAGAGACATTTGAAACCCACAGAAGAAGAAATTTTAGGCCCTATCTCTGATTTTAGTTTTAAAAACAAAATTTAATCTCTTTCTGGGATAAAAAGACGTCAGAGACTGGTATCACCAGAGTCCTTAATAAGAAAACTATCTCCCAAGGGTTATAATGGGCAGAGAAAAGATGTCTGGGGTTGATTTTACTGGTAGTCTTTCCAGCCAGGACACACGGGGTCTTAAAACAGAAGGTAGACTGCCAGAGAGAGGAAGAGGCCTGCACCTTATTTGATGAGGCTGCTAACAAGAGGTGGGCTGAGTGCGTATATGACAGGCTACCCCATGCTGTACTCCTTAATAGAAGAGGTTATAGCCTCAGGCTCCAAGTTCCATCAGATGAGTCCGGAGAAGTCCAGATGAGTAAAGGGACCACCACACCCAGGTTTGGCCCAGAGCCTAGAGCAGGGTAATGACTTAAAAGAAGTAGAATGAATGGTTGGACATTCTATTGGGATGTGCCTTGTGGTTCACTGGCTAAGATTCCATGCTGTAAACACAGGGGGCCTGAGTTCAGTCCCTGGTCAGGAAACTAGATCCCACATGCCATAAATCCCACATCCTGCAACAAAGATAGATCTGCATGCTTCAGCTAAGACCTGGCACAACCAAATAAAAATAAATAAATATTTTAAAAAGGAAAGTCTTATTAATGAATAAAAATATCTGTTGAGCACTTATTTCTTCTTAAATGCTTGTCTAGATTTTGGGGATGTATTACAAAAGAGGCAAAATGTCCCTGCCTTCATGAAGTGTGGCAAATTGTATTTTCCAAAAGTGACTCAGTGTTGTTAAGATAGCATTTCTTCCCAACTTGATCTGTATATGGCAAATATGTGAAAAATGCTCAACCTCAGATATCATTGGGGGTTACAAATGAAAACTATAATGCGATATCACTACACACCTATTAGAATGGATAAAATCCAAAAACCTGACAACACTGAATACTGATGAGAATGTGGGACAATAAGAACTCCCAGTTATTGCTAATGAAAAGGCAAAATGGTACAGTACAGGTACATTGGAAGGCAGTTTGGCAGTTTCTTACAAAGCTAAGCATAGTCTTACCATGTGATTCAACACTTGTGCTCCTAGATATTGACCCAAATGAGTTGAAATCTTATGTTCACATGAAAACCTACAAGTGATTATTTATAGCAGCTTTATTCATAATTATTCCAAACTGGAAGCAACCAAGGTATCCTTCAGCAGGTGAATGGATAAATAATTCATAGTACATTTGTACAATGAAATATTGTTTGGTGATAAAATGATATGAGCTATCAGGAAGGCCAAGAAAAGACATGGAAGAAATTTAAATGTATTTTTCTTAGTGAAAGAAACCAGTCTGAAGTTGCTACATATGATTCCTACTGTACGACATTCTGGAAAAGTCACCATGTTGGAAGGCAATCCCAAGTCCATGGAGATGTTATATAATGGTGTTCCAGACAATAGTGCCAGCTAATGACCCAGGTGAGCATCAACTACTCGACACATGAGTAATTCTTCAGGTAATTTTAGCCCTTGATGTCAAGGCATTCTCAGCTTTCTTATCTTATAACTGAGGACCCACATACTGTGAGCAGAGGCAAAACCATCCCCGCATTGCCTTGTCTGAAATGCTGACCCACATAATCCATGAGCATAATAAATGCCTGTTTCATACCACTAAATGGTAGACTAATCTGTAATGAATGACTGGAACTCATATCTCTTGTATTCTGGCTACCATTTCATTAATTCTTAGATGGTGGCTATGAAGGAAGACTCAGAAATAAAAATATTTAGAAAAGAAATTTACTGGCAGAGAAGTACAAGATGATAAGAAGGACTGTCTCTCCAAATTATAAGAAACGAACAAACTAAATTTTCTGTTTGTTTCCTATGGCTGCCATAACAAATTATCAAGAACTTAGTAACTTAAAACAACATCAATGTATTCTCTTGAGTTCTGGAGATCAGAAGTTCAAAATGGGTCTCAGTCTCAGTAGGCTAACATTAAGGTCTAAACAAGGCTGCATGCCTTCTGAAGGCTCTGGAGGAGAATCTATTTTCTTGTCTTTTGCTTGTTTCCCAAGACAGCTCACATTCCTTGGCATGGATACATTTTCCACCTTCAAAGGCAGCAGCAATATTGGGCCAAGTCTTTCACACGCTGCTGTCTCTTTGGGTCTCCCTTTTATGCTTTCCACTTCCATTGTTATAAGGGCTCTTGTGATTTAACTGGAACCACTCATGAAATCAGGGTTTCCCTCGTACCTCAGTCGGTAAAGAATCTGCCTGCAATGCAGGAGACCCGGGTTAGATTCCTGAGTTGGGAAGATCCCCTGGAGAAGGAAATGCAACCCACTCCAGTATTCTTGCCAGGAGACTCTCATGGTCAGGTGAGCCTGGCGGGCTACAGTCTAAGGGGTCTCAAGAGTTGGACACGACTTAGCGACTACACCACCACCTGTAAAATCCAGGAAGATCTTCCCATTTCAAGGTCAACTAATTAGCAAACAATTCCATCTGCAACCTTAATTCTCTTTTGCTCTATATCTTTACATATCACAGTTTCTGGAGATCAAAACAGACGTTATTGGGGGCCATTATTCTGCCTTTGGGCAGACTTGGCCCAAAGTTTCAAACTAGCTTTATAATTGGTGGATGGGTAGGTATTTCCATTCCCTAAGGTGGTTGAGAGTGTTTTCACACACTTTTGTGTCCATCTACAGACTCTCCCTGTGATAGGTTCCCAATAAATGTTGATTGCCTCCCCCTCCAAAAAAAGTGCAAAAGCAAGCATATTCCCGTATAAATTATATTGTTCTGTGGAGAAAGAATAATTAAAATGACATGCAGTGCAATCTGAAACCCTTGTGGGATGCAGAAACCTGCCCTTCTTGTTCTTGTTTTTCTCAGTGAACTCTAGAGTAACTTTGTGAAGGAGGTGGGATGGCTCTGTTATCCATATTTTACAAGTGGGAAAGGAAGTTGCAGGGAAGGTGAATGACCTCTCTGCAGTCACCCAGGGGTCACTATAGAGCTATCCTTGAATTCTGTCTCATATTTCCAAATCTAATGCTTTTCTTCTATACACTCTGATGCCCAGGGATCCCCTTGGTCTCGTCCTATGAAGAAGGATTCCCTGCATGTGTCAAAATCTTATATTTGCTTTTGTTTTCCCCTTTTCATCCTTTTGTGGTCTAAGGGATTTCTATTTCCCCACTCTGTTCTATGATTTAATTTCCAGCCTGTTCTTCATATGAAGCTTGTAAGTTTGGGGTGTTGTCAGGGACCTGCCAAGAAAAGTCAGCACAGAGCGGCTGTGTGTTTCTTATCTTTCCACTATTACTAGCAGATGCTTTAAATTTTATGCTTTTATTCCATTGTGTTTGGACTGGCTTAGATGATGAAGTCTGAACTTATTCTTAAGTCATGATCAAACTTCTAGTTGTCTTTTAGGATTGTCAAGGGGCAGAGAAAAACAAAGTTACCAACAACCCCCTCATTTGAGTATTTACTAATATATCCATCCATTTAACTATTTAAAAATATTTATTGAACATATTTGGAGAAGTAGAATTGTTTACAGTTATTCAGCCAGTTAGCAGCAGAGATGGAATTAAGACCAAAAAAGAGATGGAATTAGAACACAGTCATCTTCCCTAGTTGTACTCAGCACCATCACCAGACCATTAACAGAACATTGTTCCAGGATGGTGTGGTCAGGCTGTGAGAGCTGCTCATCTCCATCAGTCTTCAGAAGCCATTTTCTAAACACTTTCAAATTCAGGCATTTGTTTACTTTGAGAGATCCTAAGGTACAGAGCAAAAGACAAAAGTTGGGGTGATATTGGGGTTTGAATCCCAGCTCTACCAGATATTAGCTGTGTGCAAGTAAATTAAATAATTCTGAATCTTACTCTCTTCTTTGTCTAGTGAGAATAAGATAACTGTCTTTCTAACACAGTTGTGAGGAATAATGATATGGTTCACATGTAAACATGAAAAGTATGTGATACATATTAAGAACTCAGTAAATACCTGCTTCTTCCCTTCTTGCTGTCTGCAGTGCATTCAGCTACTCCTCAGCCCTGTCCCTGAGGAGGAAAACCCTGAGGGTAGGTCAGGCATAACTGGTAACTGAAATTATAGTATTGGTTCTGCTGTTGGCCTGGATAAGATGCAGCCTTATTCTGTGTATATATATATATATATATATATATATATTTACATCCTTAAAAATGTGAGTAGTCAAGCCTGTTCCTCCTAACCTCATGAGGTTTGGTAAATGTGTTGAGCTCCTTGGACTGAAAAATATGTAGAATGATTAAAAAAGAAAAAGCAACAGGAGGCTCGGCTTCTAATATCTCTATTGCAGTGTGTAAAAAATAAGCAATCAGAGCAGCTTGCTAGTGACTAAAAACTGTGAATATTTTGACTAAAACAAATTTAAAATTGGTCAAAAAGCATTTGCTGAATAGCTCCAGGAACTGAAATCTCTTATCGACTTAGTTACTATCATTAATAGACAAGTACTGAACCACAGCCATGCTCTAGACAGGCTACAAATAAGAGTATTTAAACATAGCCCCTTCCCCTACTATTAAAGGAGATTAAAAAACAAGACAAGCATGCATAAATGAGAAATGTACTAAGGGGAGAAGGGGTGTGGGATTAGACTCAGTGCAAATCAGAGTTTCTTCTGAACATTGCATATGCCATGGGACTCAATGTCTCAGAAAAGAGAGGGGGGCACTGATCCAAAAGAAAGCAGTGAAAATGATAAAATGAGCTTTAAAGGAAGGTTAAATACTTTGGGTTGATTCAGATGCAGAAGAAAAGGTTAATGAGACTCTGGCTGTCTGTTGTACACATATACATTCATCCAACTCTCAAATATTTCCTTCTCTACCCCTCTGCCCCTGTTGTGGTCAGTTTCCAGTTTTACCAGACTTCAAGTCCTCTGAGGACAAAAATCGTGTTTGTCTTTGAATGTCAATCCTCAGGCGCTTGTACAGAGTAAGGTTTCTAGTGCATGTTATTGGACTAGTGAGTTATTATAAGGGAGGGTGAATATAGAGTGGTGAGGCTCACAGCTTGCTTAGAGGAATGAAAAGAACATTGGTTGCTCATGTAACACATGCTACTGCCTTCCCCACCTCTCTGATAGCAGTTTATTTCTGTGCTGAGGTGGGGATTACCTCACCTTTAGCCAGTTAGTTTAATCCCATCTTCCTTGCTTGGGTGTTGATCTAAGTGAAAGTCGCTCAGTTGTGTCAGACTCTTTGTGACCCCATGGACCATACAGTCTGTGGAATTCTCCAGGCCAGAATACTGGAGTGGGTAGCCGTTCCCTTCTCCAGGGGATCTTCCCAACCCAGAGATCAAACCCAGGTCTCTGCACAGCAGGTGGATTCTTTACCAGCTGAGCCACAAGGGAAGTCCAAGAATACTGGTGTGGGTAGCCTATCTCTTCTCCAGGGGATCTCCCGAACCCAGCAATTGAACTGGGGTCTCCTGCATTGCAGGCAGATTGTTTACCAGCTGAGCTACCAGGGAAGACCAGGTGATAACCCAGGCCTAAGCTAATAATCAGTGCATGATGTACCTTGGCTACTTTGATTCTTCCAGGTTTGTCTAAATCAGAGTGAAGATTATGAGTCTGCTCCAGGTTTTGGAGAAGAAATGTTTCAAGTCTGTCTTTTCCCTCTGGATGATGTAGAGCATGAATATTGTATTGGAATCACCATAATCACTTTGCTTCAGTCAGAGATGAAGCAAGTACATGAATAAGGGTGAAACCTAAGAAATGGAACACAATTCTGAATCAGACGACCCTGAAGACAGCTTTACATTGTGATTCTCTGTACAAATCAATACATTTCCTTCACGCTTAAGTCAATTTGATTTGAATTTTTATTAATATTCATAACATAGTGCATGCTCAGTGATGCAGCTGTAATCCTGCCATCAAAGTTGGAAGCTGAGTGGCAGTGGCATGGTGGTTAGGAATTTGGGTCTGGCTCCACCACTCCATCACCAGCTCTGATACTGGAGAAGTTATTTGCATTTTCTGAGACTCAGTATTTCTCATATATAGAATAGGGTAAGGATAATAAGCTTGCTAGGAGTAAACGAGATAATGCATATCACTGCTAAGCATATAGTTCAGAGTAAAGTAGCATAATAATACGGATATAAATTGCACCACTTTGAAGGATCCTACCTGGGATTTTGAGTTTAAATGACATGTCCTGAGTTATAATTGAACTTCTTTGTCACACTTCTCTTAGGTTCACTCACCTAAAGTTTTTTGTGTCTACCTCTTAGAAGGTCAAGTCAATTCAAATGGTTAATTAATAACAACACGGTCCATCTTATTGTGCTTTTTAAGTTAGGCATTGAAGTTAGTTAACAGAACCAGTGAATGGAGTAGAGACATGGGGATCTCTCTCTCTGTTTATTTATTTATTATAAAGAATTGG